AATGCTCACCATCCTTAATCATCAGAGAAATGCAAATCAAAACTACTTTGAGATATCACCTAACTCCAGTAAGATTAGCCCATATCACAAAATCCCCAAACCAGAGATGCTGGCATGGATGTGGAGAAAAGGGAACACTTCTACACTGATGGTGGGAATGCAAACTAATACGTTACTTTTGGAAAGACATCTGGAGAACACTTAGAGAACTAAAAATAGACCAGCCATTTGATCCTGCAATTCCTTTATTAGGTATATACCCAGAAGACCAAAAATCACATTACAACAAAAATATTTGTATCAGAATGTTTATTGCAGCCCAATTCATAATTGCCAGGTCATGGAAGAAGCCCAAGTGACCACTGATCCACGAATGGATCAATAAACTGTGGTATATGTACACCATAGAATACTATGCAGCCATGAAGAAAGATGGAGACTTTACATCCTTCACGTTCACATGGATGGAGCTGGAAAGTGTTCTTTTTAGCTAAGTGCCATAGGAACGGAAGAAAAAGTATCCAGTGTACACAGCCCTATGATGAAATTAATTTATAGCTTTCATATGAAAGCTATAACCTAATTATAGCCTAAGAATATGGGAGGGGGAGGGAGGAGGCAGAGGAGAAGAAGGAATGGGTGGAGGGAGGGTAATTGGAGGGATCACTTCTGAGGTTTATCTTACAAGGGTACAAGTGAATATTTCTAAGAGTAGAATATGAACGTCTTAACACAATAACTAAGAAAATGACATGAAGGCTATGTTAACCAGTTTGATGAAAATATTTCAAATTGTATATGAAAACACTACACTGTACCCCAGAATTGCATTAATGTACATAGTTATCATTTAATAAAAAAATATATTAACAATGAGAAAACCATAAAATGAGTTAAACATTTCTGAGAGAAATAAGAATTGAAAAACAAAAGTAACTCATGTCATACACTATTCAGAGAGTTTTTAGATACTGATAAACTCTTGATATTAATTAAAAAAAAAACATTTTTAAGGGTCATCATTAGATGGACAGAAAAAATTAAGATGAACTTTTGGCCGGTGCAGTGGCTCATACCTGTAATCCTACCACTCTGGGAGGAGGCCAAGGCAGGTGGACCCATTGAGCTCAAGAGTTCCAGACCAGCCTGAGCAAGAGTGAGAACTCGTCTCTACTAAAAACACAAACACTAGGCTCGGTGCCTGTGGCTCAAGTGGCTAAGGTGCCAGCCACATACACCTAAGGTGTCAGGTTCAAATCCAACCTGGGCCTGCCAAACAACAATGATGGCTGCAACCAAAACATAGCCAGGCCTTGTGGTAGGTGCCTGTGTTCCTACCTACTTGGGAGGCAGAGGCAGGAGACTCACTTGAGCCCAGGAGTTTGAGGTTGAGGGTATGATGACATTATCATAGCTCACAGCACTCTACCCAAGATGACAGAGTGAGACTCTATCTCAAAAAAATAAAAAAGATGCACTTTCTAACTTCCTGAAGATTAAAAAATGGACAAAGAAACATTAACCAACCAATCTAACAAATGTCAAGAAAAGTAAATACAACCAACAGAAAAAGAATAAAAAGCTAGGTAAATTAAAAGAAGAAAGACGTCAGATATAAAAGCAGAAATATGAGTTTGTCTCAACATCCATGATTCAGTTCCCCTTTTAAAGGACAAAGCCTCTCAAATCAAGTGTAAGTAACAAAATAAAATGAAAGAAATCCAGTTCTATACTAGAACAAGAGAGATCTAAAACAAAACAGTTTTCAAAAAGGTGCCTGGATCCCATTCACGTAAGCAATAAAAATTATAACTAGGAAACAATCCTATCAGGAAATATGCAAGAGGCAAGTTAAAAAGTATAGAAAGTTTATGGAATGCTACAGAATAAGACCCAAATAAAATTAGAGACATATTTCTGAATGAGATGATTTAAAACCATAAATAAAGGTGTCATTTTTCCAAATATTAACCCACAAAACCAATCCAATTTCAGTTCATCTCAATATGATATATATATATATATATATATATATATACACATATATAATTATTATTATTTTCTTTTTTTTTTGAGACAGAGTATTACTATGTCACCCTTGGTAGAGTGACGTGACATTGCAGCTCATAGCAACCTCCAACTCTTGGGCTTAAGCGATTCTCTTGCCTCAGCCTCCCAAGTAGCTGGGACTATAGGCACCCACAATGCCTGGCTATCAATAGGATATATTTTTTAATCTGAAAACTATTTATCCAGAAAAGTCAATATCCTAAAAACATGGCCAAGAAATTTTTTTAAAAGAACAATGATGGGAGAGTTGAACTAAAAGATATCAAAACCTACTAAAAAACCATAGAAATTAATATGGAAATAGAGAAATGGAACGGACCATAGAGAATCTCCTAACAAATCTATGCATATAAAGGACTATGGTCCATGATAAGAGTGTCACTTCAGTAGAGAACAAAGTGCTCTACTAGAGACTGCAAACGCAAAGGAGAACCCAGGTACAAGCACAAGTAAGTGGAGCGAGGATGGAGGGGCTGTGGCTAACGGAAGAGCACGTGCCCACATCTGATGGGGGAAAGGCACTCTGCTCTGATAACGACCATGTATGAATTTATTACCAGAACTTCTGGAATGTTAATAAAAACGAGAACTAAGAACTTAAAATAAAATCCCTTAAGTTGTAAAACAATTGATAAATAGTTTAAAATTTTAAAACCCTATGTGGGCACCCAACAAAATATGAGTGAACGCCCAGTTCTGTCGTTAAATCACCAGCCTTAATTGCTCACCTATGTGGTGAATGGTCTATAAAACCAGTAAGGTTAGATTCCCTACATCACACCACATAGAAAATTAAATTTCAGATGAACTATCTAAATAAAAATAAAACACAGTAGGGACACTAAGAAAACAGACTTACTTATATAATACTAATGGCAAAAACAAAAGAAAAAAAGGAAATAGCTTAAAGGAGGAAAGTAGAGAAAAGAATTACAAAATCTTTTAAAAATCATAGCACTTTTATTATCCTGCTTTGAACTAGGCCAGAATCTCTTTAAGATGTAAAACAAATTCTAGGTTAAGCTACCTACACTGTTTTTAGTCAAACAGATGTGTCATGGCAAAACAAGACAGAGTATAAATATACATAAATTCAGGATACAAGTATTCCTTACCAAGTGATAACTTATATTGTAACTGAAAACAAGATTTATTACAAACACCAAACTTTTCAAGATTCAATACCTGAAAGTATCTCTGGTCAATCATGGCCTGTTGATGGTTATATTTGCTGGGGTCATCTTTTATCTCTGTGTCCTCAGCCTTTTTATGACTAATAAGCTCCTGTAATCTAAAGGGGAAAGAAAAATCAAGATAACACAAAATGCCTTCCTAGACACTGGATTAAGATGACAAACTAAGCCAATGATCTAGCTACCCTCCCAACAGCCTTACATTATTTTACTTATGTGTGTGTGTGTGTGTGTGTGTGTGTGTGTATACACATGCATAAAGTTAAAAAATATTTAAGTCATATTGTCACTAGAAAATAAGAAGGTCCGGCTCGGCGCCTGTGGCTCAAGTGGCTAAGGTGCCAGCCACATACACCTAAGGTGGCAGGTTCAAATCCAGCCCAGGCCCACCAAACAATAATGGCTGCAACCAAAAAATAGCCAGGCATTGTGGCGGGCCCTGTGGTCCCAGCTACTTGGGAGGCGGAGGCAGGAGACTCGCTTGAGCCCAGGAGTTGGAGGTTGCTGTGAGCTGTGATGCCACAGCACTCTACTCAGGGGGACAGCCTGAGGCTCTGTCTCAAAAATAAATAAATAAATAAATAAGAAGGACCTCTCAATAGACTACATATTAGAAAGAATCCCTAAAAGCAGAAGGTATCACACTGAAAAAGTTCTAACCATCTCCCAACTTCATAAAAGATAGTACAGGAAAGAACTACAGCAAAGGATGGAAGCAACTTCCGTCCCAAGGTGCTACAAGCTTAGAGGCTACAGGTAAAGGTAGCAAGAAATGTGGCCAGGGCAATTGGTTTGTGTACTGCAGCAGGAACAGCTATACAGTTTGGTCCATCTCTTCCTACTTGAACTGGTAGAAAAAAAAAAAAAGACAATAGTGATGCCTGGGCTAGTCAAGAGGGCATGGAGACCCCAGAGACCACCATCCCAGCACTGGCTATAACTCCGGGCCCAGAAACCTGCATATGAGTTTATCAACACAGCAGCAAACCCTTGCTGTTTTCCAGATATCTCCAAAGACAGACTGTAGTAGACATTCCTTTTCCTACCTCACAATGCCTTTGAAAATAGAACTATAGTGCTCATTTATCTGTGGTTTCACTTTTTATGGTTTTAGCTACCTTAGGTCAATCATGGTCCAAGAATATTAAATGGAAAACTCCAGAGATAAGCAATTCATAAGTTTTAAATTGCACACCATTCTGAGGAATGTGATGATATTTCATGCTGTCCCACTCCATCTCATCCAGGATCCAATTCGTCTTTGTCCAGCTTATCTATGCTGTATACACTCTCAGCCCCTTAGTAATGATTTCTGTTAGTAATGGTCTCAGTCATCATATCAACTGCTGTGGTACTGCAATGCTTGCATTCAAGTAACCCTTAGTTAGTTAATAATGGTCCTAAATCACAAGAGTAGTGATTTTGGATATGCCAAAGAGATGCCAAAAAGTGCTCTGCTTAAGTGAAGAGGCAAAAGTTCTCAACTTGCTTAGTTAAGAAGGAAAAGGCATTAAATCTGTGGTAGGAAAACATGAACAGAAATAAGTTTCAACTGATAACAACTGGGCTCAGCACTACCCAAGGTCTCAGGCATCCACAGGGGTCTTAGAACATGTCTCCTATGGATAAGAGGAGACTATCGCAGTCTCTTATTAAACCCACTTCAAATTAACTCTCTTGAGTTTATCTATGTCACTGTCTTCCTGCTAGGACCTCAAACAATTAAACTGACTCCATAACTCATTAATGATGACCTCTGAGCAGATATTTATAAAATAAAACAGTAAAATTCTATCATGTCATTTGTCTGCTGGAAAATGATCCATAATTTCAACTCACTGCTTTGTCAAACAAACCTAATCTCCCTGGGCTAGCATTTAAAACTCCTCTTGCTGGCCCAACATTCCTTCTGACTTCCTTTCTTCTCCAGTCACATGTATTGCCTTTGGTTACCACTCAGTTGCTATTCTCTGCTCTCTGGTAAGTATTAATATGCGCTCAAGTCAAATTAAGAAATGGAGTTAGTTTAAAGGAATTAGCTCTAGGTAAGTAGTCCACCTTCTTTTAGTGAAAAGACAGCAATGCTACAATAACAGAAAAATTATCTAACTCATAGTTTCTCATATGAGTGCACACACGTCTTCCCCCTTCTCCCTACTGATAGGCACCCTCGTGGGGCCCTGTTTTCACAATATCTGAAAAGAGCTGAACAGACATAAAGGAAAATGTACATTCTTCCCTTTTACAGTGACTAGTCTATAGACTGAAAACAACCTTTTAGAACTTGCTTTTTACAGTCTTGAAGAGTTCCTGAATGGATTTGGGAGTGGGTGGGTAGTGTAAGCTTCACACCTCAGTTCTTGCCTAAAACCATATCTAAAGGGCAGACAAGATGACAACAATCACCAGTGATAGCCTATCTCCAAAAGAAAGACAGGACCCTTCTGTTATCAGCCTGTCACTACCTCAGAAAAGAAACAGATGCACCAGAGTCACACAGCCACTTCTGTTATCAATTGACAGCAATCACTATTTTTTTCTTTCTCTTTGTCCCCATAAAAACAGCAAGCTGCTTGGTCTCAGGGGCTGGCAACCGCCTTCTCTTTCTTTGGGATGCCATGCCATCTCCCTGGTCTCTTCATTTCTCTTCTCCCCCACCCCTGCTTTCTCTCTCTTTCCTAAACTTTTTTATTTATTTATTTATTTACATATCTTAATCTCTGTGAGAGAAATTTTTCTCCACCTATGCTGTGAGTTCGTCCTAAGTCTCCATCCTAACATCTAGGAGATACAAAGAACTTACAATCCATCTTTCAATTGACTTTCACCTATTTACCACAGTCACATCTTGATACTTCATAGTTCTATATAACGGCAGTACCATGAGCATATTATCTAGAACACAAAAGGACATAGAGAAGCCAATATGACCTCTAAAGTGAATAGAAGTAAACTGATCTACCTGAATTTAAATGTTATATAACCTTTACTCAGATGAAAATGTCAACTTATCTATAAATTGTTTGCAAATCAATACACATCTACAACATTTTAGCTGTCAGCACAATAACCTAAATATATACTTGCATGTACTAATTATCAGCATTATGAACAATCTAATGTGATTCTATTAACCAGATGAATTAAGAAATACCCTGACTTAATGGTAACAGTAACTAAAACTTACTGGGAACCTGGTAATAACTAATATTTACTGAAAGCCTTTTCTATGTAGGAATTCTTCCAAGCACTTTCCAGGTATTAACTCACTTAATCCCATTGTTTTTCTTTTCTTTTCTTTTTTTTTTTTTTTTGAGACAATCTCACTATGTCACCCTGGGTAGTGCTGTGGTGTCACAGCTCACAAGCAACCTCCAACTCTTGGGCTTAAGATATCCTCTCGCCTCAGGCTCCCAAGTGGCTAGGACTATAGTGCCAGCCACAATGCCCGGCTATTTTTTTGTTGTAGTTGTCATTGTTGTTTAGCAGGCCCAGGCTGGGTTCGAACCCACCAGCTCCAGTGTATGTGGCCGATGCCCTAGCTGCTGAGCTACAGGTACTGTACCCCCATGGTTTTTCTAAATTTACAGATGATTAGTAAAAGGCAGGGACTAGTGGGAAACAGCTATGGTTCACCCAATCTCACAGTAAATTTCTAGCATAATATACTACTGATAAACTTCACATTCTGTAAAATCACATAAGATCACAGGACTCAGGAGAACAGTCATATTAGAAACTGGACTACTTACAACTGAAGTGGTTTTGGAAGTAGAAAACTACCATAAACAATAATTGGTACTGCAGGAGTTAAGTTAGATAGCCTAAGCCTGTCTGGAGGCCACCTCAGGGGATCTTAAAAATGCATAGACAACAGAGAGGAAATGTTGGCTGGAGGATACCAGGGCAATAAAAACTGAAGCGGAGCCCTGAGCCAAAGAAGCTGAAGTTAAAATGGGCAAATGAGGAAGTGCAACTTGCCTCCAGCCTAGAGTACATCTAATGCTAGAGTTTGGGGAGGAGGCCAGTGTACAGTAGCTCATTTAAAATTTTCTTAAAATAAGGTGAAAGAACACTTACTTGCCTATATACTAGTAAAGTGTTTCCCCACACTGAAGTCTCTAATACCACTACTGTTATTCTAGCATCTTCAGTCTAGGAAAAACTGTATGTGAACAATGCAATTTCTAGGTTATATTGCTACTGCTATTTTCTATTTGCATATGTTCTTTTTTAATTTTAAATTTTTACCTTAAAATATTTACATATGTCTTAATTGTGTTTTAGAAACTTGTGTTACAGCATTTTAGGCTATACTCAAATATACTAGAGCAGCCAGACAGGGCCTGGAGTATATAAAAATACCCTCAAGAGTGGCTAAGGGGTACTTTACATGCTTAGCAGAGATATTCAGGACATGTAGCCAGCCAGCATCAGCAGCTATGTATCTTTGTGGACTTGGAGAAGCAAAAGCACCTCCAACTTCAAATATGTGTGTTATCTCCTGTTTTGTATAGCCATCTTCTACGCAGAAACTTTATAGCTTTTAACTGTGTTCTGCAGGAGCCTTTCCGTGATTTCACAGTGGAGAGAGAGACACGCTAAAGATGAGGAACAAGTTAAAAAGTAGACTGCCAGTTTTGTTATTAAAAAATCACACTAATTTTGTATAAAAGAAAAGAAAAATATCAGCATCCCTCCTCCCCAAAACTCTCTATGCAAAAGGGAAGGAAAAGCCCTGAGGCTTCTGGGAAGGACTGGCCCACAGATCACTCATTAAGGAGATTCCTTCTTGGCCTCCGAGGAAATTGTAACTTGACATATACAGGCTAAGTCCAGGTCCTAAACCTAAAGTCTGTTCAATTCCATGCAAATAATGAATTACAAGTTTTTCCTTTGGATAAAGACAATTAAAAGGTATATAATAGACTGTATCTGCCTGGCAATAAAAAAGTTGGGACTCCTTTTTGTTTTTGCAATCTTTCTAGTAGATTGCCTGTAATGCATAGTATGGTCTGGTTGAATGCCTATTCAGTTACAAAACTGATTCTTCTTTCCTACATCATTTGTAGAGGATTCACTGGATTGACAGGATTTTAATTTTAATTACTTTCCCAACATCAGATTACTTTGAAAAAATATGCTACCTCTGGCAACAGAAAATAGAAGTTTTAAAAGTTTTATCTTAAGGCTGGGCATGGTAGCTCATACCTGTAATCCTAGCACTCTGGGCAGCTGAGGAGGGAGGATTATTTGAGCTCAGGAGTTCGAGACCAGCCTGAGCAACAGCAAGACCCCATCTATACAAAAAATAGAAAACTTAGCCAGGCGTGGTGATGCATGCCAGCTACCCAGGAGGCTAAGGCAGGAGGATCACTTGAGCCCAGGAGTTTGAGGTTGCTGTGAGCTATGATCACACCACTGCACTGTAGCCAGGGCAACAGAGCAAGAATTTGTCTTAAAACAAACAAACAAAAATTTTACCCTGAAAAAAAATTTGTTTGGGTGTTTTTTTTTATTCTAATTATTAGTGTGCTGGTAAAAAGTAAGCTTCGGAGTCAGAACAATGTAGGGATAAGGCAGATGAGGAAGGCTTAGAGAATCTGAGTGCAGCCATTTTGGCTGATACTAGACCCTAAACAACATGATGAGGGAAGTCAACTGGTCCAGGACCCTCCAGGATGATTACTGTTTGCACTTACCTGACTGTGACAGCAGCTTACAATTCACCTTTATGGCCTGACTTCAAAATGACACTGGTCACCTATGGCTATTTCACAACAGGGTTTCTGAACATTTAAGGGATCCCATTCTGCTCAGGAGAGGACTCCTACTTTGTCTGTGCAGCAAGATCTGTTGTCCGTTTCTCAATAAACTTTTTGTCACTAGTTGGGCTGTCCTCAAACTCTTTGCAGCATGAAGCCAAGAACTCACTTGGTGAGTTCAGGGGTCTTTTCTCCCTTCATTGGGGCACCCCCTGCATCAAGAATGATTGGGTAAGGATCTGATTTCTATTTAAGTCCTTCCACATACCATCTGTGTGATGTGGAACATTCCAAAATCTGTTTCCACATCTAGATACTCTAAACTTTCAAAACTAAAACAAACAAAAAAATACTTTTAAAATCACAAAAACACAAATCATTTCTTTCAAATTTAGCATTAAAAGACCCTGAATCACAATTTTAAAGGACAATAAGTCACTCTAAGGACAAGATCCCAAATGAACAAAATACACACTTAAACACAGACTATTCTCATTATTTGTGATAGTCATGTTAAAGTCATCATGAATACTGAGTTAGCAAATACTGAACCATTGCATTGGTCCTAGGGGAAATATAGGGTCAAGTTCCTACAAACCCCTGGTCATGTTTTCCTTAACTGATCAATATATAAGCTTGTTTTATATGTGTTTCTATTTAAAGACAACTTATTTAAAATATACTGTTGATTCATTAACACTGAACTCGGGGCCAACAGCACTCTACAGCTCATGCCTGAATGAGGTTTATCTAATATGTATATTTTTTCCATAAGGCACCTTATAACCTTCTTGTGTGTAGGAACACTAGACAGCACTTCAGCACTACACTCAAAGGGCTATTTTATAGAAATCACTAACAAAAAGCAAAAAATGGCAAATAAAAGTGGTACCAAATAGATGGCCAAAGGTCATTTGTATACATTATGAGAGCTGAAACTAACATGAAGAGTATCATCTTTGACAGATCAGAATGTGTGTTGGATGATTCAAATTTTTTTGCCACTCTGCACATGTCTATGGATGAAAGTTCTGTATTGATTTGAAGATTATAAACAAATATGGAAAGTAGGTAAATTCACAAACATGGAATCTGCAAATAATGAGGGCTGACTGTGTATCCCTATGTGTGTGTAAATGCATACACAAATGGGTGTATCTTTGCTTATACACTTGGAGTCAGTGGGTTTCCTTCTCCTCTTCTTTTCCCCGCTGCTTCTCTTTCAATTTCCCATCTCATTAATGGTACCAAATAACTAATTACCTAGTTGCTCAAGCTTAAAACTTAGGAGACTTTTGATTCTTCTTTTTTTTCTTCAACTCCTTATATTAAATCCATCGTGAAATCCTATTAGCCCTACCTCCAATATTCTCCAATTCCAAACATTTCTCTCACCTCCACTATTGCTACCTTTGACTATGTCACCACCACCTCTTGTCCAAACTCATACAAAAGCTACTCCTCCACTACTTTACATTTAGTATTTATATTGTATAGACTTTGTCTTTTTTCCAATATCCTTTTCCCTTTGTGTAATCTCTGAGAAGGCAGGGAACTTTTCCCCTCAGTTTACCACCACTACTCCAGTGCCAAGAATACCAAGCAGATAGTAGAAAGTACTCGGGTTACCCAAAATGACAATTAATAGTAGGAAGGGAATAATTATTCATTAAATAATGAATACATCCTTTCCAAACCTTCTACTTCTCTTTTCTTCTTTAGTTCTCCTTCCCTACTATCTTAATTTAACACAATATGTAATTCCTGGATGCCCACAATACTTGCTTTCATTGTGATATATGCTGCTATCAGAAGGAGAAAACACAACCGTCACTGAAAATTAAATCAGATATGCTAAACAACTGACAACACACTTAATGTACATTCTAATGCAAAGCTTCCAAAATATTTCATCCCAGTGCTCCCCAAACTACTTTCTCAAATCCCAGTCCCTTGAAGCAAAGAGTACACCAGATAATTTTCAGAAGTATCATCACTATTTAAAATCAAGAGGTGGAAACACCTCTGAGCACTTCCTTTCAAAGCCAGGAAAGGTACAAGTGGTGGATTTCTTTTGGTACTTTTAAAGCCTGATGAGGCTCCGTTTAAAATTTTCAGATCAAGGCTATCAAAATTTTGAGGCTTGATACCTCTAATTTCACTGATTCTCTAGCAATTCCTCTATAAACTTCCAAAGACAACTGTCTATTTAAAATCTTTGTCCTTTATTATATAAGGTAACTACCTTTTTCATATTCTCACTTACGATGAATATACAGCCAAATCCAACATGGTAGAAATTGCTTTTAAACTTTGGAAGTAGGATTACTCTTTTTAATGTCATTTCTCCCATCATCCTGATAATTCCAAGCCAAGGTTACTATGAGGTAGCATGAGATAAACTGACAGGTAATAAAAATAAATAATGAAATACAAAACCCTAATAAAAGCAGTAACTTTGGTAAAACATAATTACTTGATGCTTTTCTTAAGGGCCTTTTCCAGTTTCTTCACCTGCTGCTTATAAAGTCTTAATTCATGTTGTGTAGGCCTGTAGAAAATAAATCATGTTGAATGCATTCAATTTGTTGAATAAAACAAATTCTTAATAATAAACAACTTAATAATAATAAATAATTAATAATAAATTACTTAATAATCAACAAAAGTGAATACCTGTTTACTTGTCACAAATATGCTTATTAAAATTCTTAAAATATTTTATGACTGTTAATTGGGTGTTTAATATCCATTTAAATTTCTTCTACAATGTAATTTCTTATTCAAAACCTTTTATTTAGTTTTTGTTGTTGTTAATCTATTTCTATTTGTTTTCATAGTGAAATATATAGACAAAAATAGAGGACACTGTAACAAATCCTGGTGCATCCACCACCGATTTATCAGATTAACAGATTTATTTTAAGTCTTTTTTAACTAAAACGTCATACATATAATTAAAACTCCACATGTCCCTCATTAATATCATTCCTCTCCTCCTCATACCATAGATAGCCATTATCCTAAATTCAGTGTTCATTACTCCCACGGAGGTTTTTACTACATATTTATATAACCATAAATTTGCATATGTATTGTACATTCCAAAATCACTTACAGTCAATTTCAAATGTCTTCACCACAGAAAATAAATATTTTGAGGTGATGGATATGTTAATGAGTCCAATTTAATTATTCCATATTGTATTAATAAATCATAGTAAAACTCTGTACCCTATAAATATTTATAACAATAATTTGTCAATTTGGAATTAAACATAAATAATAAAAAATTATGCTGAATGAAAAAAGAAATGAATAAATATTGTGTAGCTCCATTTACATAAAACATAAGAAACACAAACTAATGTGCAATGACAGAAAGCCTATCAATGGTCGTCTGAAGCAAATGCAAGAGGAATAGGACAAGAAGAAAGGATTACAGAAGGGGCAAGAGAAAACTTAGGTTATTATCTTGACTGTGATTGTTAGAGGGATTATCTCCATTGTAATTGTCTCACAGATATGTATATATGACAAAACTTATCAAATTGTGCACGTTAAGTATGTGCAGAGTATTGTATGTCAGTTATAATCCAACAAAGCTGTTTTTGGGGGGGGACCGGGGCTGGGGTCAAACCCGCCATCCCCAGTATATTTTTTAAAACAACTGAATCTGCTCTGAGTTCTTACCCAGTTTTATCCACTTCAGTGCAGACTCCCATATTCTCAGCTATTTCCCTTACCTATTCATGTGTTCCTGTTCCATCACTTACCATGAGAGACAATTGACTAAAATAAGTGTAAAAGTATGAGGTATCCAAGATTAATTTTAGAGTAAAGAGGCTAGAATGGTTCATTTAATATTCTAAATTCCAATACGTTTTTACTATTCTCTCTCTCTCTCTTTTTTTTTTTTTTTGAGTCAGGGTCTCAAGCTGTCACCCTAGGTAGAGTGCTATGGCATCGTAGCTCACCACAACCTCCAACTCTTGGGCTCAAGCGAGTCTCTTGCCTCAGTTTTTCTAGTTTTAGTAGAGACAGGGTCTCTTGTTTTTGTTCAGGCTGGTCTCGAACAGGTGAGTTCAAGCAGTCTACCTGACTCAGTCTCCCAGAGTGCTAAGATTACAGGCGTGAGCCACTGCACCCCACCTGTTTTTACTTTTCAAAGAATAAAGAAAAATTACCTAAGTTTCTCTCACCTCGTGTCCAAATCTTTTTGGAGGTTCAGTTTCTCAGTTAAAAGTAGATCAATCTTAGATTTTGATTCTTGGAGTTGATTCTGTAAAGACTGTAACACATTTTTCATAAAGAGATAATTAGTTTTCCTGGAAGACTATTTTACTACGTAAAGAAGCATTTTTTAGTTATGCAGTCCCCCTTACCGTTAGGAGGCTTTTATAAGTTGGTGAGGCATCCAAATTTCTGTAGTCTTTTTCTTCTTCTGACTGACTTTCATCATCTTTATATTGCCTATAAAAAGATACATGTAGTATATGTCACATGAAAAAACTATCTTCAAAGAAAAAACTCCAGCTAACAAAAATTAAACCAATCTAATGAGGGCTTAATAACCTAAATGTGAATTAAAATTAATCCAAATTTCCTATTTGTTCTCATAGATCAGTGGTTCTCAACCTTCCCCATGCCTCCTAATGCCACGACCCTTTAATACAGTTCCTCATGTTGTGGTGACCCCCAACCATAAAATTATTTTCGTTGCTACTTCATAACTGTAATTTTGCTACTGTTATGAATTGCATTGTAAATATGCAGGATGTATTTTCATTGTTACAAAGGGGTCACGACCCACAAGTTGAGAACTGCTGTCATAGAGAATAATAGTATTAGAAAACTAGTACCTATTACTATATACAGTATCTAAAGATACAGACCAAAAGTTACAACTCATATTCAGTTTGGACCATGTAGGATTTGTTTGGAACACTGAATTAACTATGAACACTAAGATCAATATTTCATTTATAAATCTTGGCTTCTCTTGGAAAGTCAGCTAATCTATACACATGGGGTTCACATTCCTATATGATGGCACCTGGCTAGAGCTGTATATAGTAACTGCCTCTTTTAAGACATATGGGGCACAACTCTTCAATTTGCTGTAGTCCCCAATTAACCTGTTTCATTATTTCCACTATTTTCCTGATTCTGTGAGTTTAAGAGTTAACAACTGTCAAGCCATGAAATTCTTCATTTTCCTTCTCTTTACTCTTACATACTGTGATGACTAATTCTATGTGCCAAACAGTACCCGACTGTTTGTTCAAATACCAGTCTAGAGTTGCTATAAGGTATTACATTTTTAAGTATAATTGACATTGAAATCAAAAGACTTTGAGTAAAACAGATTACCCTTCATAATGCAGGTAGGCCTTATCTAATCAGCTGAAGGCCTCAAGAGCAAAGACTAAGATCCCCTGAGAAATTCTGCCTCTAGACTGCCTTCAGCTTCAAGATTGAAAACATCAACTCTTCCTTGGGTCTCCAGCCCGCCTCCCAAATTTTGAATTTGCTAGTTCATAACTGTGTAAGTTAATTCCTTAAAATAATCTCTCTATATACATGTCCTTTGAAATCTAACTGATATACATAACTATAACCCCACCAACCTGTTCTTTGCATTTAAGGAAAAAGTACCCTCTTTCCAAAGCAACTGATATTTCCTTGTTCATTTACAGACTACTCCTGCCCACCACTTTAGTGACTGCTCTCCATAGGTTATCCACCCTACTGATAAACATACGTAAAAAAGCCCTTAAATTCCAGGCAGACTGGCTTCACTAATTAAGGTTAAGTTAGACAGGTTCTTAATTAAGACACAGGTTCTTGCTATATTGCCCACTCAAACTGGCCTTGAACGCCTGGGCTCAAGCAATCCTCCCACCACAGCCTCCCAAGTACCTGGGATTATAGGCATGCATCAGTGAATCTAGTAAGTCTTACATGTTTATATCTATGCACGTTCACTCATAACATCTAAGCCGTCTAAAATGACTTTTTTTTCCTTTGTGCTTTTCCAAATTTCACCTTTACTTTAAACTCAAGCACAGTCTACATCTGCTTTAGAAAGGCTTCCCTGGTCACTCCATCCAAAACTGACTCGCTTCTTTTAAATTCCTATAGTACTTAATGTCTGTACAATTTTTAGTAATTGCTCAATTATGACAGTTTTTTCTTTATTTATTTTTATTGACTTTATGTTTTTAGTGTCATTCTTTTTCCAGAACTGGAAAATATCCCCTGCTATTTCTTTTCTCTTTTTTTAACTTCAGATTAACATGAGGGTCCAACCATAGGGTTATATAATTTACACATACAGGTAAAAATCAGAGTTGTAGTTGTGTCCTACACCCAGTAAGATACAATATCTCTGTCTTTTTTATGACTGAATAGTATTCCATGGTATACATATGCCATATATTATTTATCCATTCATGTGTTTCCACATCTTTGTGATTGTGAATTATGCTGCTATAAACATTTGAGTGCAAATGTCCTTATGGTAAAATGCCTTTTTTTCTTTTGGGTAGATACCTAGTAATGGAATTGAGGGTCAAATGGTAGGTCTACTTTTAGTTCTTTGAGGAATCTCCATATTTCTTTCCATAGAGGCTACCCTGGTTTGCAGTCCAACAAATAGTACATAAGTGTTCCCTTCTCTCCACACCCAAAGCCAGCAACTGTTGCTTTAGGACCTTGTGATGTGGTTTTAATTTGCATTTCTCTGATGATTAGAGATGATGAGCAATTTTTCATGTGTTTATTGGCCATTCTTCTGTCCTCACAAGAAAAGTTTCTGTTTGTGTCTCTTACTCAGTTTTTTAATGGAGTTGTTTGCTCTTTGTTTTGTTGATATGCTTGAACTCATTACTAGATTCTGGTGAATAGCCCTTAGTTGGATTTGTAGCATGCAAACATCTCCCATTCTGAAGGCTGTCTTTTTGCTTTGTGTATTGTGTTCTTAGCTATGCAAAAACATTTTCATTCAATCAGGTCCAACTGATATATTTGTTGTTGCATAATTGCTAGTGGGGTATTTTTCATAAGTTATTTCCATAGGCCAATAAGATCAAGAGTTTTTCTCACATTATCTTCTAGTGTTTTTATTGTTTTGTGTCTTAGATTTAGATCTTTTATCCATTGTGAGTTAATTTTTGTAAGGGGTAAGAGGTGCAGGTCCACTTTCACTCTCTTACATATGGTTAACCGGTTCTCCCAGCACTATTTATTAAATAGGGATTCTTGTCCCCAGTGAATGCTATTGTTTGCTTTGTCAAGGATTAGATGGCTGTATGAGACTGGTTTCATCTCTGGATTCTCTATTCTGTTCCAGAGATTTATGTCTCTATTTTTAAGCTGATACCATGCTGTTTTGATCACTACCAGTATAATCTGAAGCCTGGCAAGATGATTTATTCTTATTTTGTAGAATTTTGTTGGCTAACTGAGGGTTATTCTGGTTCCATACAAAACATAAAATTATTTTTTCAAGAACTTCAAAGTATGACATTGGTATTTTAATGAGTGCATTAAATCTGTCAATTGGTAGTACAGTACAGACATTCTTTTTTTTTTTTAAGACAGAGCCTCAAGATGTGGCCCTGGGTAGAGTACCGTGGTGTCACAGCTCACAGCAACCTCCAACTCCTGGGCTCAAGCAATTCTCTTGCCTCAGCCTCCCAAGTGCTAGGATTACAGGTGCCCACCACAACACCCAGGTATTTTTTGGTTGTAGTTGTCATTGTTTGGTAGGCCCAGCTGGATTCGAACCCACCAGCTCTGGTGTATATGGCTGACACCTTAGCTGCTTAAGCTACAGGTGCCACCAGTAGTACAGACATTTTAACAATACTGATTCTCGCTGGGCACAGTGGCTCATGCCTGTAATCCTAGCACTCTGAAAGGCTGAGGCAGATGGATCACGTAAGCTAAAGAGTTTGAGACCAGCCTGAGCAAGAATGAGAGCCCATCTCTACTAAAAAATAGAAAAACTAGCCGAGCATTGTGGTGGGCACCTGTAGTCCTAGCTACTCAGGAGGCTGAGGCAAGAGTTTAGGGTGGGGCTGAGGACTCATGCTTGAGCCCAAGGCTGAAACTCATGCTTGAACCCAAGAGTTTAAGGTTGCTGTGAGCTGTGAAGCCACAGTACACTACCAGGGTGACAGAGTGAGATTCTGCCTCAAAAAACAAATTTAATTCTTCTAAGCCATGACCATAATATGTACTTCTACCTGTTAATATCCTCTGTATTTCTTTTCTCAGTGATTTGTAATTGTTTCTGTAAAGATCCTTCACATTCTTTGTTAGATACATTCCAAGGGATTTCATTTTGTTTGACACTACTATGAAAGACATTGTATCTTTGATTTGATGCTTAGCTTATAGTGACTTTTTTTAGTCTTATATTATTTTTCTTAATTACTAATATATTTACATTTTATCCCCCTTTTTAGACTGTAACTCCTATAAGATAAGAATCCTGTCCAAAATTTCCTATCTTTACAGAACCACATCTAGCATATCACATCTATCTAGCACCACATCTATCATAAAAAATAGTTCCATTTGGAAGTCAGAAGGTCCCTGAAGTTACTTGATATCATGCTGCTTTCTGAACAGAATGAAGGAGTTACTTTTGTCTCTAATTATTTTTTTTCTTTCCTCCCTCCTTTCTTTCTTTGTTTTTTTTTTTTAAAACAGACTCTCTCTCTGTTGTCCAGGCTAGAGTGCTATGGCATCAGCCTAGCTCACAGCAAACTCAAACTGCTGGGTTCAAGTGATCCTCCTGCCTGAGCATCTTGAGTAGCTGGCAATACAGGTGCTTGCTACAACACTCAACTAATTTTTCTATTTTTAGTAGAGATGAGCTCTCACTCTTGCTCAAGCTGATCTCAAACTCCTGAGTTCTGGGCGGTGCCTGTGGCTCAGTAAGTAGGGCGCTGGCCCCATATACCGAGGGTGGTGGGTTCAAACCTCGCCCCAGCCAAACTGCAACAAAAAAATATCCGGGCATTGTGGCAGGCACCAGTAGTCCCAGCTACTTGGGAGGCTGAGCCAAGAGAATCACCTAAGTTCAAGAGTTGGAGGTTGCTGTGAGCTGTGATGCCACAGCACTCTACCGAGGGTGACAAAGTGAGACTCTGTCTCTAAAAACAAACAAACAAACAAACAAAAAAACTAGTGAGCTCAAGTCATCATCCCGTCTTGGCCTCCCAGGCTGCTAGGATTATAGGCATGCACCACTGCACCCAGCCCATTAGTTGCTTTTTTCTTTTCTCTCCTCCCTCCCTCCTTCCCTTTATTTTTTTTATTATTTTTTATTTTTGAGTCCCCAAAGTACTAGAAAGAATCAGCCACTGGTCTCTTCGAATTTCTGGAGTTACTATTCTTGGGGCAAGAATACTAACATACAAGCTTCATAAAAGTGGGAAATTTTTCTACTTTGTTTATTACAGATTCCTATCTACCTAAAACAGAACATGGCACAAAATAGGGGCTCAAATAAATACTTGTTGAAAGAACTATTCCATCTACAAATAATAAAACAGAATAACTGTACATTTAGTGATCTCATAGTAAAGCATTTTAGATTATATGGTCTTAGATATGCTTTAGGTATTTTAGGTTAACTGAAGACCATTATTCTTTATTCTTATTTTTCTTGTTTTTATCAACATAAAAATTATCAAATGAGATTATTTTACAATATTTTTTGTACACTCCATCCTTATTTCTTTATTCAGTGGTAAGAAGTGTGTTTTAATCTATATTTATTAGGTAGATTTCCATAACATACTTAGTTTCAAAAGGCTATAAGAACTTTTAATATATTACTAGATAAGTTTAAAAATTATAATATAGCATTACTCATACCTTTGTAAATGAATTTTTCTAATTTTAGATTCATAGTAATCAATCAGGCAAAGCAATCTAGAAAACAAAATATACTGAATTATTTTCAAAATGAGGTATTGGAGCATCTTTTAGTCTCTCTACATAATTTCAAATTACAGTGATAAAAGTAAGTACAGATTATCTACAGGCTTAAAAAATTTAAGTGGGTGATTCTTGATTCTTAAAAAAAAATTTTTTTTTTTTTTTGAGACAGAGCCTCAAGCTATCCCCCTGGGTAGAGTGCCATAGCATCACAGCTCACAGCAACCTCCAACTCCTGGGCTCAAGCGAGTCTCCTGCCTCAGCCTCCCAAGTAGCGGGGA